CATTTATTAAAGTATATTCCACTGCGTGTCCTAATTTCCCGTCCATAAAACCTGATAAACACCGTTTTCGTAGGAAAACATGCAAGTTGTAGGGATTAATGAGTGAGGCTACAAAAGCTACTGTTGCCGTCCAACTTACAGTTCTGGAGTTAGATTAGCACATAAGCTACTGTTGCCAAAATGTAAATAAGCGACATTATCTTCTCCTCCCAGTGGCTAAAAAAGATTAAGGCGACTAGGAATGTCTGATTTACTACCAAACTGTTTGTCCGTATCACCTATGACTTGGAAAGGGGGGCTTGCTTTATCTCGTTCTAAGGTATACTTCCTCCCTTGATATTTCCTTGTCTACCTGTGATTTTGGCAACAAGTGATAATAATTGCAGCGTACACTGCCTCTTTTTTTTTTCAGGCCACTCGTCACAAGCCCCCTTTGGAAGCAGAACACCATCACTAAGTCCTCACACAACTGAATGGAGATCGGGCAAGACAACACCCGTGTCGCCGAGTCCTTTCCTTCCTGAAACCCTCTTCCTTTTCGCCGCGGAACTGTTGCCCGTCCTTATCACGTTGTTTGGAAAAACGCAATCTGAGGTCGTGAAGTAAGTATCCGCGCACAGAGGATGACATCCTTCCGAATTCATTCTTATTGGCACACAACCTACAAACTACGTTTAGCTGTACCCCCTCAGAGCCTCCCAGCTGTTCTGAAAAGAAATGAATCTTTTTTGCTGACGAAAGCGTATTCTACCGTTTGCAGATATCAAACCATCCTTCTCGTACGCCGCCTCGTTGGATCCTTGAACTCCTGCGATATGCAGATTCTGAGCGATCACACTCAGGATGGACTACGTCTTGGTTTTCGTCTCTCTCGGATGATTTATACTGCGTTGGCTGAGGTAACTGGTAGAATAGATTTTTGAGCATTTGCCTGTGTGGTCTCATGTGAAGTATCCTGCTTCGGTCTGCTTTCATTCTCCCCTCACCAAAGCGGGCTCTTAAGGCAAATATTTGATTTCTAGGATCAGTTTTGATCAAGTACCTATATAGACTGAATGACATTTTCGACAAAGACATCTAATCGACAATGGACGCGTTTGGGCCTCGGATGGTGCGACACCTAGAGTTTGGTATGGCTAGCTGATGACGGCTGCTAAGTCAGGAAAGGCTACCCCAAACGCCCTTTTCGTTGTCAGTAATGTCCTCCTGATTAGACCAACTCCTGACGCCGGCCCAGCTGTCCTAAACGTCAGCAAACCTACAAATTTAGTCCGGTGAGCAGAAGATGAACTCTGACGGATATTTAAGCTCCGTAACACTCTTCTTCGCCGGTATGGTGCTGTTCTGTGTCTGATCGCCAAAGTAACTGCTTGTCGCACTGAGATCTCAAATATCTGGCAGCCGACAATGGCAGTAATAGTCTAAAAGTAAAATTCTCAGTTACCTAAGCATATGCGGTTGCCGCAAGCGAGTTTAAGTGAAGAAGTAGCCACTGTCCTAAGAAACGTTTCACGTGAAATATTATTTATTTCGATCTGCCTTAAGAATCTTATGTATAAATGTTCGTACGCTTGGGATTTTAGGCCTACCGATATCCATGCTGTGAAGACTGCGCTCATAAAACCTAGTGCCTATCTAGAGCGACGGGTTTTCTCCTAAACAATCCCAAGGACTTTTTTCACTGTCTGCCCTTTTTAAACTATGTTCCACCCCATTGGCTCATGTCAATTGGCCTCGCCAATAAGCTGAGGTACTATTTTTCTGATACCACAACACGTATGTACAAATAGGGAATTCAAAGTTTACCCACCTACGTCTCCCTCAGCTATGCTGCTACTGACAGAAGAAGACTGGGAATGAAATTCCCTTCCTTTACCATTTTACATGCAACTGGGTGCACATATGCCCAGAGAGAGAGTGGGTTTCATACTCCATGTGTATCTACAACGCACTTTCACTAAGATATAATCCTTTGTGCGACTATTTTCAAATTTCGGTCGCTGTATCATTGACTTCAAACTCGTCTGCCCACGTATTTTGTTTCTATAACTTTCCTTTTTCACGAGCGGAAAATCACCAAAATAGTGCAGCCTTCAGATGGAGAAATAAACTTAAATCTAGCGTCTGGCGACTTCCATAAATAGAATTACATAGTTTCCCCCTGCCCCCCTGTTCCCTGAACCACTAAAGTACCTGACAATCTCGCTTCCATTCCATCTAGGAGCCGGAAGAGGCGGTTCTTTGTGCCCTTCAGTTGGCCCAACAGTTGCTTTGCAAGACCCGCTCCGTTTACCTACCCATTTTCCAACGCATCGGCCTCATCCCTATGCTTCGAGGTGTCTACGAGGTGCTGAAACATCGTATTGATCTTAAATCCCTGCGGCCAAGAAGCGCCGCCAATGCTGAGGCGCAGCCCACTGAAGTGGTTACTGACGGTG